TAGCAGAGAGATGTGATTAAAATCTCCAATTATTCCCACTAATGTATTTGGCTGTTGTGTCTGTAGCTTAGCAACAACAGAACTGATGACATCACATGCAGTGTTGGCAACAGCAGAAGGTGGAGTATAAACGGTTACTAGCAGAACACTGCTGACCTCTCTGGGCAAATAATATGGCTGAAAACCAGCGGCCATCAGTTGAATATCTGGGCTGCAGGGATGGATCTTCACAGAAACATCTGGATGACATCATCTGTTGATCACAAGCAGCGCAAACCACCTCCGTTGAGTTTTCTAGTCTTCTTTGAAACTCTGTCTGCTGGTTTGGTCAGAAAGCCTGCCATCGAGGCGCTGGAGTCTGAGATATGATCCTGCAGCCAGGTTTCAGTGAAACATATAATGCTGCATTGCTGATATTCTGGCTGGGTCCTTGCTAAGGCTTGAAGTTCTAACTGGTTTCCTAACGATCTCATATTGGCCATGATGATTGATGGAAGAGATAGTTTAAATTTCTTCTTCTTCGCTCTTCTCCTTGCTGCTACTCTGCATCCTCTGCACCTCATGTTCAACTCAGCAGGTACTTGTGGAAGTAGATTAAGTATTTTTGAGCTTTAGAGATATTGACGAGTTGCTCCCCGGTGTAAATAAATCAACTTGCTATGGTTGCTATGGTTACGCATCATGACGTGTCCAGAAAAGGAGAGAAATATCAGTGAAAATCCCTGCATTGAACAACAAAGGCTGAAAAGAAACTGATCTAAAATGGTTTTCTAGTTCTCTTAAAAATGAATATCAGTGTCAGGCTATCAGACTCTAATGTGCAGCAAAATTCTAGTAAAGAAAACAAGAAAATTCAGCAGTTTCATAGCGTGGTGTACCCTGAAACCAGTAACCCATCCATGCCCCACTCAGAGTTATAGTTTATTTACATATATACCTTTCTGCCAGGTGTAATAAAACATCAGTGACACTTTGAATAATACTCTCAGGTTAATCAGAGCAGAAATAATTAGTAAACCTAATTTGGAGTCTTATTCCTTAACAAACCGTTATATTTCAGGACGACCCTCAGCGAAGCAGATGTTTGAATTAGAGGAATGTCTAAATGACCTCTGCCTGCAGCATCCTATGCCGGTCAGCCAGCGGCCTCTGGTGTGATGCTAGTAGCAGTGCGCTGCCAGAGTGAGAGAATTAAAGATGAGGGGAAACCTGCTGGTTGTCCTGGTTGCTGGATGATTCCTTGAGTTTGGATGTTTGGTTTAGCTGTTTGATGGCTGGGAGGCAGGAAGCATCATCCTGACTGCGCTCTCATGGGTTTCCATCCTCACTATCAGGTACCTCAGGATGAATGGAGTGGCTTTTCTCCTCTGGGGAAAGAGGAGGACATCCCCTGTCGTAGAATGAGGAGCGGCAGCTATGTGAAAGCCATGGCTGACGACGACAGCGGAGACTCTGATGGAAGTCCCAAACCTTCGCCCAAGATGCAGGCACGTCGGGCCAGCTACCTTAAAGCCACACAGCCATCGCTGACAGAGATGACCACTCTACAGTAAGATTTAGCCTCTTTTCTCAAACACTGCGACCATAAATGATCGTTAAAACTAATGTAAGGAAAATATTGAAATAAAGGAAGCATTTCCACTAATCTGATCCCTTTGAACTACAGTTGAGGAGTTTGTAGACTGCAGAGTAAAGGTGGGGAAGAATGACATAGAAATCAGTAATAAGATCTAATCTAAAAATGGCTATCAGACTCCAATGTGCAGCTCAATTATAGTAAAAGAAAACAAGAAAATTCAGCAGTTTCTTAGCGGGGTGTACCCTGAAACCAGTAGCCCATCCATAGAGAGTCCAGGCCAGGCCAGGCAAACAGGAAGGCTCAGAGGTCTGGGAGTCTGCAGCTTGATCAGGGATACAGATGAGAACAGGAACAGGCTGGTTCAGGGTTCCAGGAATCCAACAGAGAGTTCAGGCAGAACGTTCAGATGACAACAGGCAGCCTCAGTGGAAGAGGCATGATGAGCAGACGCACTACGGAGAAAACTAATTTCAGCCGCTTGGATCCAGGATCTCGTTCTTTCGGTCATGACCCAAAGCTCCTGACCATAGATGAGGGTAGGAACGTAGATCGACTGGTAAATCGAGAGC